TTATTTCTTTCTTTACTAGGAATGCTTTTCAGCTATGGTGCAATGTTTTCTCATTTCAGACCATGTGTTATTCCCTTGAGTATTATTTCTTTCTTCAATAGGAATGCTTTTCAGCTATGGTGCAATGCTTTCTCCTTTCAGACCATGTGTCATTCCCTTGAGTATTATTTCTTTCTTCAATAGGAAAGCTTTTCAGCTATAGTACAATGCTTTCTCCTTTCAGACCATGTGTCATTCCCTCGAGTATTATTTCTTTCTTTACTAGGAAAGCTTTTCAGCTATGGTGCAATGCTTTCTCCTTTCATACCATGTGTCATTCCCTTGAGTATTATTTCTTTCTTTACTAGGAAAGCTTTTCAGCTATGGTGCAATGCTTTCTCCTTTCAGACCATGTGTCATTCCCTTGAGTATTATTTCTTTCTTTACTAGGAATGCTTTTCAGCTATGGTGCAATGCTTTCTCCTTTCAGACCATGTGTCATTCCCTCGAGTATTATTTCTTTCTTTACTAGGAATGCTTTTCAGCTATGATACAATGTTTCCCATTTCAGACCATGTGTCATTCATTCCCTTGAATATAATTTCTTTTTCTAGCAACTTGACCTCGGATAACTTTATTGGACCATTTATATATGACGTCAGAGAATTCCAACATCACAACGCAACTAAAGTTTCATATAAATTTTTGGGGTTTTTTTATTCACTTTCCATAGCATTCGTCGAGAACGTTGAAGAAACTCTTGGCTGTCAGTTTTACTTAAACAAAAAGGGCGAGGTTCACTGGCTCGGTACCAATATTAACGTTCTCAAGGATTACGACTGGGTTGGCAGCGTGGTGGACTGGGACCTACGTGAAGTGCACAGGCTTCGCGTGTATGAYTCGTTTATCGTACCTGTTGCTGAATATCTGCACAAGAAGGGCTACTTTGGAATCGCAGGTATACCATCAATGCTCAAAAATTATTACACTAATTAAGCTTATCATCACGTTTATTCTTCCCTCAAACGGCGGCTATGAACACGGTTTTATCCTGGCCCACCTCGTAGCCCACCACGTGGCCCTGTATTTTGCTTCAAAGTGGATGTATCGTTGAAGTCGGTGTATCCTTTACATTACAGTATTAGAGAACACAACGATATTTTAAGAATTCCAGACAGTTCTTTTTGCTCAAACTTTCTTTCTTTCTTTCTTTCTTTCTTTCTTTCTTTCTTTCTTTCTTTAATTATTTATTGTTATTCACTCCAGGAATCGACATAATCTGTAGCCAGAGTGGTGACTACCTCGTTGACATGAACGCTCGTCTAACAGGCTTCACCCCGCATGCGCTCATCGCACCTATCATGGCACGTGACGGGCTGACAAAATCCCTCTTCAAGTCCGCTGACAACCAAGACTGTTCTACCGAGGAGCTCATCAAAAAAGTGAACTTCGTGAATCAGACGAAGGAAGGCAAGATATTAATTCTTAACTCCATGGATGTAGACGAGGGGTGTATCGCTGCCATCGTTGCGTTTGCCGAGACCATGTCGGACGCGGAGGAGCTCTTTGACTGTTTGGCTGTCGAGAAACTCGTCAAGTAACTYGCACTTTGAAAATCACATGCAAAAACTCTCTTGACCGTGAGGTACTAGTAACGAATAACACGAAAACGAGGTTGTTTGGGACAGAGAAAGTAAACAAGCCTTTTATCTCCTTAGAGAATCTGGGTGGGTTGAAAATCTTAACCTCGCAAAATTGGCCATTTTTTCGCCTAAATTAGTTTCCTATAAATAGTTCTGCAAAAGAAATGCTTTTCCCAAAAATTGGACATTTAGATTTCCGGCTCTTTTTTGGTGTTCTGGGCAACAATACTTTGCAATATAAAGAATGGCAATCCAGAAAATGCAATACATCTTGCAACACMAAGAAAGAGCCAAATTTCAATGTCCCAACCAACCTCAATTCTAGTTACGTAAAATTCAAGGGAGGTTTTTACGAAAAATATTTATTATACGTATTTGTATCTGAGCCAAACGAGACTTCTAACAACTAACATCTAGAACCAGAATGGACTACTTCGACGACGCGACGGCCATCTTGAATCACAAGGCATTATGGGTCATCCAGGGGGAAAGAGACAAAGTTGTGAGGTTGACATCAACGGTTCACAACTAAAAATTTGACGAGAGAAGAGTAAACAAAAGTAAGCCATATCAAGCTTTACTCTATATATTAGTGTCGCGAGTTAGAGTAGAGAAAGSTCACTCCATATATGGTATGATCAATTCCATATTTGGATTGTGCGGAAAAGCGGCAAACAAAAAGGCCGTCGTTTTATAACGAATTCGACATGAACATTTTTGAAGAAGAAAAGAAAAGAAAAAAAAAAAGACAAGTAAGAAAAGAAAAAATTGGGAAAATCGAGGAAGGATACGGGGACGATGCTAACTCGTGGGTCTGCCTCGCAAACAACAGACACTGGGAAATACGACACTCATACTCGGTACCCATAAAGCCTTGCGATTCAAGATGGCCGCCGTATCGTCGAAGAAGTTCATTGGAATCTATTGGAATCAAAAGTTTTATACTCATTTGCCATTTTTTGAAGCAGAATTTTGGACAAATTAWAAATACCAAAATAGAACGAATTATTTACATTCTATTGAAAAATAATGTCTTTAGCTTAGGAATGTTATTTAACGAGGTCGCGTTTCACTCAAGTAATCGATAAATGATTGATATGGTGCAGTTTCAAATCGATTTTTGATTGATAGATAGCTTTAATATTTATCATATCTCTGATTCACGCGACTAACAAGTAAACTTGTGCACTAAAATCAGACAACACTTTTATTTCATTATATACTCATTCATACGCGTTAATCGATAATCGTTCSTTTTGAATCACTAATCGTTCGAGTTTTTTGTCAACAATTCCCGTATAATCCAAAAAATCACAATGATTTTCTTAACTGATTATTTCGGTAATAATATTGTGATATATAGTAATTGATATTTGATTTATAATCCAGAAATTGGTATTCGATATTTGATCGATGAATTATTTTGCAAATGAAGCTTTTCATAGCATTTTGGAATTTTGTAGAAAAGATGGAAAATCTGGATAAATATTTGGGTTTTCACTTATATTTCACGTGTTTTTCTACTGTTATCACGTGTGTTTCAATGTTTTTCACGTGTTTTTCACGTTACTTTCACGTGTTTCT